CTTGTGGCCTAAAAATACATTTCTATATACCGTGCAAATTATTAATGTCTTTTTTCTATACAAACTTATAAAGTGCTAAACTTTTTGTTAATTTTATGCAATGATAAAAAAGTATATAAAAAATTAGCCACTAGTTTCCAGTTGTCATTTGATATGCTGTTCACAATAGATTTGTTTGTTTTCTATTGAATCTATTGATAAATAATCGCATTTTTGCTGTAAATTATTGCCTAAAACTTTGTGTCAAAGGATGTGAAAAATTCTTTAGAGTTTTGAAAACAAATCCCAATTCAATAGAAATTAATGGAAAGTATCTCTGATTCATAGGAATTGCATGCAAATGACTCAATCAGTGGCATACCTTTGCTCTGTATAATGAGTGGCAATAGTGTTTTGGTCACCCGAATGGTTCCCAACACATTGGTGTCGACCTGCTTCTGGATCTGATTCCATGACAACCAGTCAAACTCAGCCATCACACAGACGCCCGCGTTGTTTATCAATGCATACAAACCTACATTCCGAACGGAATATCAATGAAATTATTATTATAATTATAAATAGATATCTTATCTACAAATATATTACAATATGAATCATAAATAAATTAAATAAAAGTCTATTTCTGGGCATTTCATTGAGTACTTCTCTGGGATTTTAATAGACTTTGAAGTGCTTATAGTTTTGACGACTTTTTTGTTTGGATATAAAATATAGAGATTTGAGATATTCTGTGAAATAATTCAAAAGTTTTGGAAATTTTCTGTTAAGAATAGCCCAATGAGTTGTAAATGTATTTTCTTTCAGCATTTGCTTAGATGTTGAATGTATTGTTAATTTTATACTTAATTTCTAAAATTATGTCAGTTTTATAGACTAAAGTCTAGACTCTACAAGTTTTTATACGATATGAATCATATGATTATGAACATTGTTATTAATATTGTTTGCGTTTAATGATTAAACTTTTCATTAATATTTGCTTTTCTTATCAGAGATTACTGTTGTATTTATAGATTAAAGTCCGCAAAGTCTGAGCTTTAGGTCACGAATTGACATAATTTGCAAAATTAGACAAATATGGGAATTAATGGTCAAAACATTTCATCATAAGTTTTGAAATGCATAGCAAATTGCATACATTTCCGTAACTTTTTTGTTGTAATCTAATTACGAGATATAAATGTTTCCAAAAAAATTTATTGGATTTAAACTAGTCTTAAGAAAATATGACGAAATACAAAAAATAACAAATATTTCATTAAATAGTGAAATATTTAATGAACGAAAAGCCTATTTATTAATAGTAAACGAAAAGGAAATGAGAGCTCAGGTATGTTTGGCGAGAGGGGAATGCCTTAAGGCTTATATGCACTGAACACCAGTTTCTAAGGCATAGATATTTTGGGAAACATTTGGCTTAAGAGGCGAGAAAGGAGGACATAATCAGCGAAATATATGCCATTATATTAGCCATACTTTCCCAATCGATAACTGGTTTATGGGAATAGAGTTTGAAATCGCTTTTGATTATGAATTCAACAAAAAATAAAATAAAAATAAGTTTTCGTTTTCAATGAATATATTTTTAGACCACTGTTTGGCTGATCCGCACAAACCTTGCGATTGGTTTCGCTTGAGATAGTCGTCCACTTCAGCGGCCGCTCGACTCACGTCCTCATCGTTGGTCACATCCATGCGAATCAAACGCATCCGCCGGTGATTATCATCGCCACTGGAATCAGACAATCGGCGTAACTCTTGAGCACCGCTGCCATCGATGTCCAATACGGTGGCGAAGACTATGCAGCCCTTGAGGTAGAAGTGTTTGGCCAACTCGTGTCCGATACCGGTATCGCATCCGGTGATCAGTACTGTCTTGTCGTGCGGTGATAGCCATTGATTACTCGTGAGTAATACGTTGGACAACTGCCACGCATAGGCTCCCAATCCGATGATAATCACCAGAAAACCCACGATCATAGTCAACCAATCCATGGCTAGTTCTTAGGGTTTAGCAGCACTTCCACTATCACCGGGTGTTCGGAGCGTCTTAAGAGGTCGGGAACTAAGAGGTTTCGACGAGAAATATAGACATATGTAGTGTTTATTGAGTCACAAAACTGGATATTATATGACATGAAGTGAATCCCAAAAGAGTTGAGTCTTGAGTGAGAAGTCTTAGCGACTCTGAAGTGGTTTTCAATACGAAAACTTCATTCAAAATATAAAAATAGTTTTTTTCGCTTCAAAAACAAGTTTTTTAAATATGTTTGAGTCGTGCGACGCATGCGCGCAGTCATTGCCTCACAAACACGTGTTTCGCGGACTTTCAAAACAACTGCAAACACACGAGTCGTTTAAAAGGCAATTAAATCAATGTTTTAACCATTAGTT